CCCAAATCCATGGAAAGTCAGCCAGCCGAGGCCTCCTCACCAGGCTCCACATACTCCCACACAGGCTTAGGGGAGCGAGCTAAGGCCGCCCCTGCCCAGCACTCCTGCTAAGTGTGGGGGTCCCACTGCCATCCAGCTGAGCACTGGTCACCTCCCACTCCAGCTGCCACAAGCCCACTCGCACCACCAGAGGAGCAAGCAGCCATCTCCAGAATGCCATCTTGGAGGCTGGTGCTGCCACAGTCGGTCATTTGATCTTGGAGACACCACTTGATCATTTTTAAATTGCGGACATATTGTGAGTGCAGTCTGCCAGGCACGGGACTTAGCACTTAAACCACATTACCTCGTTTAGTCCTTGTAAACACACATGCACACACAGAGAGGCACACACACACACACATACACACACACACACACACACACACACACACACCAAAAAAAACAAAACCCCTAGACCAGTGGTTCTCAACCTTCCTCATGCCACAACCCTTTAATACAGTTCCTATTGTTGTGGTGACCCCCAACCATAAAGTTATTTTTGTTGCTACTTCATCACTATAATTTTGCTACTGTTATGAATTGGGTGGCCCCTGGGTAAGGGTCATTGGACCCCCCCCCAAAGGGGTCACAACCCACAGGTTGAGAACCACTGCCCTAGGCAGTCAAGGTTTCTCGAAGCCTCATATTGTGCGAAGGGACACCTGAGCCTAGAGGTGAGTGGCTGGGTGACGGTCACACACTGGGCACAGGTGGGAGCAGAATGTGAAGCCGGGTCTACCTCTCTCCACGTCAGTTTCCTTCCCTGACAGCTGGTGGGAGTAGCCCTCCATGATTTCCTAGGACCCTTCGAGCTACGGAAAAACAGGTAGGTGTTTGCATACATACTCCCTATGCGGAAGCCTCTGGCAAGGCCCCTGTGGGATGCCAGCGACCCCAGAGAGCCCCATCCACCCCGCCTGGCACCAAGAATGCAGAAGTGGCACCTGCTGACAGCAGAGACCATCTGCCTGTGGCTTCTCCCTGTCAGTTAGGCTTGGCTCCAGTTGCTGGGAGGGAAAGCACAGCCTGGTCTGCCCAGTCCCTTTCAGCCTGGCTTTGATCCGCCGCCACACAC